TCCATATGGAAAACTTGTTGTTATCTATTCCTAAGAAATATATCATAACACTTAAGTAACAACTCAAAATTCTGATCACCAAACCATGCGATCGAAATCCATCTTCACGATCAGAATCAACATATACTTCCTTTAAGTTTTTTCACTCTTCTTTGATTCTTAAAACATCAATATGTGACCCGGTCACATCATGCAATAAGAATCTCAGAATAGAAACTTAATAAAGTTAGATAGCATACTTTACCTAAAGCAGAGTCAGTCAGTTGACTTTACTATCCTTATGGACTTTTAGGTAAATTTGGCAGCTTCGCAACCAATTCCCTTCCTTTGGCAACAGAAACATATGGATTCTTTGGAAACATTACACAGACTTAGCATTTCTCTTTACCATTTGGTCAACCGAGTTGACTATGGAAAATCCCTTTCAATTGGGAAGATAAAGTTTTTCTGGACTTCCAATGTTACCATTGTCAATATCCATGGAAGTTTGGGAAGTTGATCTTCCAATTAAATTTTGCTTTACCAATGCTCCAAATCATTGTTAATTCAACATCATCAAGCAAATAGGTAAGATCATTAAGGTTCATGTCGTGATTTGTCATCAGGGGGTGACTGAAGAACCAAGTCAACAACCAGCTACCTCGAGACATCGACACCCGACTCTCCCAGCTTGTCAATATGGGACTTAATTTCCAAGACCTAAGCACATATAGACTTTGTTTGCCAATAGGGATTGAGTGACTTAGAACTTATCAGATATTGAAACTTGTGGGATAGGGAGATTTATTGGAGGAGGTGGAGGAAGTGAAGTATGATTTCCAGTCCCACTAATGCACAACAAAGGGATTGATCTTTCACCTTAGTTGCCATTTGGGATATCATCTTCATTAGGAAGATGATATCAGGTATTGAAGCTTGTTCCTAAAGGTTTGGGAAGACCATAGTTGTCTAAACTAGACATCTATAATGGGAGAAATTCAAGTTAGTTGATTTAAAGTCCTTAATATAACACCCAATATGAAATATTAAGACCATGACCCAATAACCTATTTATAACTGGAAGAGCGATGTCGTAATCCAAATTATAAAATAGTTAAAGGTAGGTAAATGACGATTTATCAATTTCCACCATGAAAAACGAAATATAATTAAGTTTTAATTCGATTTGAAACTCCTAGATCTTTTGAGATACATTGAACTTTCAATGGCATGTTTGAATCTCGATTGTGCCCTCATAGGTTTGTGACTGGGATGCCGAAGATCACAAACAAGGTGTGAATAACCATACAAATTGACTTGGTACCCACAACAATATTACCTAATCGATGTGCCGGTTAACCACACACGCTCCACCGATCTATAATAAAGTCAAGTTACCCTTTGCCACTCTTACTAGTCCATGTTAGTGTGCCGGTTAACCACACACGCTCCACTAACGACTTGGTAAGGTACAAATTGTAATTTTATGGGCTAGCACCAATTTAACATTTTCCTAAAGTAACTAATATTAGGAATTTATAATGTATAGTTACTTTATAATTCATTATACTTTTAATGAGCATTTAAATTCGTATCCTACCAGTTGGGCTAACGACCCTCCACCAATCAAGGAAGCGGTCGGCTTCGTGAATGAGGCCTACTAACGGTAAGAATGACATATTCTTATACATATCTATATAATAAAATTATAATAATAGTATAAGTGTTGATTTTTAAACTTTTTTAAAAATCTAAGTTTTAATTTGGAATTATGTATTATAGTGTAAGACTTTTCAAATTCCAAAACTTGAGGGCAAGATTTGAAACTATTCTAAATCTCTTCAATTTGTAACTTATGAGTTTTAATGGTTCATATAATGAAGACTCTTTATTTTATGAAACCTCTTTAGGTCTTTAATCAAAATTTAAAGAAGTGACTTTTGGTTATCCATAACTTGAGGACAAGTTATGGACACCATCATTGCCATTAAGATCATGAATTAAACACACATGGAGGTTACACATGATTCCTATGATCTTCTAAAACTCATAAGAACACAAATTCATATCAAGCAATTTCAAGAAATCATATAAACATATACAATACTTGAAAATTGATAAAAGTCATGTAAAATGAGTTAACATAATCATTATCATTTTGAAAAACATATTTTACAAGTCCAAAACAGATTGGGATAATGATTTTAATCCATTTCCAACAACAAAACACGAAAAAACTGTCCAACACGCTCCTACTCGTCAAGTGCATGATTCTACTTGTCGAGTAGGATGAATTTGTTCATGGACTCGGCGAGTCCTCCCCATGAACTCGGCGAGTCCAGTCGTCAGAGTGCAGAATTTTCGATTTTTAAGCAGTTTTGCATCAAGTATATAGAAAACAATCCTAGGCTCTGATACCACTAATGGGGTTTGAGCATTCTAACACTTCCTAAGTGTACATGCAACCCTAATAACCTTGAATCTATGTTTTCTCTATATACATGCAAATTCCTTTTCAAGGTTATTTCCTAACTAGCATGGCATGGGGAATATATAAAACATAAAATTAGTAGAAATACATACCTTGTTGTTGCTTGGATTCCTTCAAGACTTTGTGAGCCTAGCACCCCAAATGTTGTGCCTCAAATGCTTCACATAACACTACAAACTTGGAATAACTTGAGAGAATACTTCTACACTTCAAAATCGGTTATGCCCTCAGAAGAATACTCTAGTGTCCGATTTTCCTAGCCATGGGGTCCCTTTTATAGTGGTGTCACAATTAGGGTTTCATCATGAAGACTCATAATTGTCATGACTCTTCCATTCTCATGATGCATGGGTTTGTAACTCCCATGGACTATCCATGGAGCTCCAAATGGTTATATCCATAATCCATAAACCATGGATCATTTAATCCACTATAAAAGTTTGGATGATTGTCATAATCAACCCCATATATTTAATTAGTTTCAACTTGATCACCAAACTAATGCTTAAATTAATATTTGATCAAGGCTAATCAAATAATACTATTATTAATATATTAGAACTTACAATATACTAATAATCCTAAGTGCCTTATTCTCTCATTTTGTCTATCTAAGTATTGCAATACCATGCAACCCAAATGGACCATGCCGGGTCGGGTCAAGTACATACCAAATAAAGTTATGGACTTAGACACTATATCCAACAAAACATACTTGAGCTCAAACTAGAAAACTTAGGGCTTGCACTGCGAAGTATATATCCGCAGAAATCTTAGACATGGTCGAGTCTAACCTTACAATATCCCTTCAAAGCATTCAATACCAAGTTTAGAAGAGGCTTCAAGTTGGTGTGTCCATACACAAAGTAAAGAGGGAAAAAGCAATAGCTACAAAGCAAGTGACTGGTTACTACACAAAGCAATACGAGGTGTTAAGAGATTATCTTATGAAACTACAAGAAACTAATGTGGATACAACTGTGAAGCTTGAGGTTGTTAATGAGCCTAACAATGCTAGAGAAACAAGGCAATTAAAGGGTGTATATTTTCTTAGGGGCATTAAAGAAAGGGTTTAAAGTAGGCTTAAGAGATATTCTCAGACTAGATGGTGCTTTTATGAAAGTACCATTTCCAGGCCTAGTACTCACTACATTTGGATTGGATTCAAACAATGGCATATACCCACTTGCATATGCCATTGTTGAGACTGAAAATATGAGTAGCTGGAAATTGTTGCTAGAATGCTTAGGAGATGACTTAGAGTTGTACTCAAATTCTAACTTTACTTTCATGAGTGATAGACAAAAGGTACTATTTTCTTCTTTTTATATAACTAATCGTTCATTTGTATATGAATGTTAGAATGATTATGTGGGATAATCTTTTACAAGGACTCTTACCTGCTATTGCACAACTATACGCACATGTTGAGCATCAATTCTATCTAAGGCATATTTATGAGAACATGAGGAAGAAAATGGAAAACAAAAGAGTATAAAGATCACTTATGGGAGTGTGCAACAACAACCACAATACCAGAATTTGAACACTACATGCATGAAAATAACAAGTTTGATAAGGATGCTTTTGAGTGGTTGAAGAAAATCCCCCCTCACCATTGGGCCATAAGCCACTTCCAGGTTATATTCCCTACCTTAGGTGAAGCATTACTTGTGCTCATTGTATTTGACTTATTTGATATAATGTTCTTGTTTAATACAAGTAGAGTAGGATCAAATATATTGCTTAACAATTTGTGTGAGGTTTTCAATAGTAATATTATTCATGGTAGGAATAAGCCCATCATAAGTTGTCTTGAGTACATCAGGCAGTACTTTATGAAGAGGATCTGAAATGTGAAGAAAGTGATGTCCAAAGCTATTGGTCCACTCACTCCAACAACATCAAAGTTACTTGAGAGAAATAGGAAAGTTGTAACGCCCCGATTCTCGAATACCAATTTATGGTCATCAATTCTCGTGAATTCAAGATCTACTCGACGAGTTGGTTGCCTGACTCGTCGAGTAACAGCGGGTTTGGGCCACGTGTTTAGGTGACCAACTCGCCGAGTCGGAAGAGTGACTCGACGAGTTGGAGCTGGAGGGTGAAACCCTAATTTCTAGGGTTTTGCACCCTATTTAAGGCATCATTAGCCTCCCTTAGTCCCTTTGCAGCTTCTTGGGAGTCCAGAAACCCTAATTTGTGTGAGTGTGCTCCATTTGTGTGTTTTAAAGCTTTGGAAGGTGTATCATCCATCTCCTCACAGATATCCAAGCTTCAGGAGGACCTTGCAATAGAGAGTAAGATAATAGATACTCTTGCAGTCAAAATTGAAAAGGTGAAAGGTCTGACTGTTAAACTTGATGCTACTGAGAAACAAGTCAGGGATTTGTTATCTGACAGAGCAATTATGAGAAGTTGTATCACCGATGTTACCGGCATGCTCTCGGATATAATTAAGACTAGGGAATCAATGATTACTATCACAATTAGAAAGCATCTTGCTTAAAAGATTAGGCCAGTCTTTTCAATGCTTCATAAACTAGAGGGTGTTCTGGAATCAAGCAGCATTCTGAAACAAGGGGGAGATCAGCCTAAGAAGACTGTAGTGAAGCTAATTGTCAAAAGCGAATCCGAGCCTAAGTACAAATCAAATCTATTTTCTGAAGCACCAAATGTTGATAACAGTGAGGATGAAGATATTGATGAAGACGAACTCAAAAAGAGAAAGGCTCGTGAGGCAAAATTGGATGAACATCAAAGGATTGTGCGAAAGGCTGAAGCTAAGGAAAAGGCAGAGAAAGAAGCTCAGGTCACACTTGAAAGCAGAAAGCTTTTGTTTCCTATGTGGACATTACAACAAATTTAGAATGAGGTCGTGGACATACCAAGTCAATATTGGCTAGAACCAGTTGTGTCATTCGATCTTCAGAATACACAAGACTCCTAACTGGATCTTCCAATAACTCCTAATGCCTTCAAGTTTTGATCTTTTATAAGAATTGAAAATGTCCCATCCAAAAATAATTGTGCTGACTAATTACTCTTTTCGTTTTATCTCAAGCATATAAAGCCACAGTATGAAATGTGGAGTTCTTCCAAGATTACTGCAGTGAAGGTCATTGGTCCTATCAAAACCGAAAGCTTCCCAAATGCGAAGTTCAAGTTGGTGAAAGGTTCGACTAGTCGGGTTCATGAATTCACCCTCGCAGACCTGACTTGTCTCAACCCATACAACTGGATCATGTTTTACAACTTATTGTCAAGAGACAAACAAAAGTACGAGCCCGTTATCGCTCACCTCAAGCTGATGATTATTTCGTATATTCAAGAGGTGGGAAAATGGATGTGGAGATAGTTGTTGTGTTGCGAATGAAGCCCTCAGTTCAACCCAAAGAAGCTCCAGAAGGATTTGAGAAGTTAAAGCTTGGGAAGATTTATAAATAGGGGTGGTATGTGAGGGAACGAAATGATACAGACTTTCACAAGGAATGTTTCTTTCTTCCTGAGAAACATTTGTACACTACCACCTGCCTAGAGTACATTTTGGAAATGATCAACAAATTCAAGGGCAACAGCCAGGGAGACAAAAAGTGCTACTCGGACATGATTCAATGGTATGTCCAGGTTCGCAAGGCACTCTTACGCGTAATGCAAAAAGTTTTTTAAGTACAAAAGTGAACTCAACCATGATAGACTCTCTCTCAATTGACACAAATGGGAGATTGTAGAGATTATTATGTTGCGTCATTGGGCCATTTTGTTTTTTTATTTTGTAATTGGGTTGGGCCTATCCACCTGCCTTTTATTTATAGCGTTATAGTATTTAAGATGCATGCATGCACCATATTTTGATAACTTTGATATTATTCTTCTAACCCTAATCATGCCTCTACAACAACAATTCTTAATCGAGTTCTTCTGAGACTGTGAATTTTGAATCATTCAACATATTTTGATTCGCTTTCATGTTCTTGATTTAATATGTTTTGAATCTTATCAATCTTTCAAGGATTATTATCCTAAAAATTAGAGGTATCACACTTGGGGTACTAAGCACTTAAAGGCCAAGAACTACACGCTACAACAAAGAGGTATTCATCTAACTAGATTTTATGTTGTATATCTCCTATAGCATGCTAGCTAGGGTATGCGCTTAAAATGAAATTGCATGTATAACATGAGAAAACTTAGATCCAAAGCATTAGGGTTGTATGTGCACCATAGGGATGTTATAGTTCATAAAACCCATCAGATCATTGGTAGTTGTAGCTGTTGGTGTTGGAGCTGTATTTCGAGAGTTTGACATATAAGTTCTGATCAACATTTGAGGTGAGTTGTCCTCACTATACTAATAGAGCCGAAGGCACCAATGCCATCCCTTTTTGAATTTGTATCCGGGTTTATTGCATGTTGGTATGCTTAGTGACTTGTTAGGTCGGTATCTTGGTATATAGGATAATGCTATGTTAGTGACATGTTAGGTTGATATCTTGGTATATAGCATGATGCTATGATTAGTGATCTGTTAGATCAGTTTGACTATTTTATATGCTAACATTTGATATTTATGTGTTGATAGTGTAATTGGGGATGAGTTGAGGTGGTCGCTGCTTTGTGCTTTAGGCCAACATACCCATGGCGGCCCAGATAGACTGCAGACCTGGTAAGGGCGTACTAGTTAGGCCGGAGGCCCGACAAGCGGTCCAGATAGGTTGAAGGCCCGCAAGGCGGTCCGGATGTGTCGATGGCTCGGAGAGCGATCCAGATAGGATGATGGCCCTGCGAGGCGGTCTAGTCAAGCTGATGGCTCATGATGCATGTTGTTTGTTTACTTGCCATGATATGGCTATGACTGTATGGCATTGGTATTTTGGGGGAGCTCACTAAGCTTCGGGCTTATAGTTTTGGATTTTGTTTCAGGTACTTCAGATGATCGCGAGAAGGCGAAGGCGTGATCGTGCACCTCCTCACATTTTTATGAGTTTGTTTATGGGATACTTCGATATGAAACTATTATCAAAACATTTTTTTAATAAATACTGGTTTTTGAATATTTGAAAAAGTTTTAAATTGGCTTGAATTTTATGGATGTTACATCGGGACTGTACACACTCACCAGCAACAATGAGGATTTCATGTTTTCTATGATACTCTGATTTTTAATAAATGTAATTTGGAATAAACAATTTTATTAATAATGAATTCATATATTGAGAAGTTTTACCTTAATAAAAATGAAAATTTTTTGATGTGAAAAGTGGTACGTTACAATGATTGTCCTTGTGGTGACGTTTTCCGAAAGTCAACTATTCTCTTTGTAGTTTCTGTTGTTGTAAATTATTACGTACGGTAGATATTTATTTACTACAAAAGCCATATCTCACCCATATTGAGTTAGATCTTTGTGAAATTTATATTTTTAATATCACAATAGTTTATATTATCTAAAAATCTTAACTTGCTCTCAAAGTGACGCGACTTTTCGTGCAAATATTTATTAGCCTAAAGGTTGACTTAATTAAGCATGAAAGATAATATATATATATATATATATATATATATACACACACACACACACACACACACACATATATATATATATATATATATATATATATACAGTAAATAGTGTGAAAACGAAAAAACACTATTTTTATGTTATTGTTCTGCAATGAATTTTGTATCCACAACTTTATGTTATTTTTCAGCAATGAATAAATAAATAGTCATAGATTAACATTAAATTTAGAATTCATTACAAAAATGCACGTATATAAGTTTATAATAGAATAATAACATTATAACGATTATATGACTAATCAAACGTTAATATTCATATTAAAATTACTTCAACAGTACACCTATACAACATTCATTACAGAATAATAACATAAATATAGTGTTTTTACGTTCTCACACTATTTACTGTTTTATTTGAACTTACTTATATATATATATATATATATATATATATATATATATATATATATATATATATATATATATATATATATATATATTGGGTGCTTACAAGATTGTTCTTATTAAATTTTTGTGTTTTATCATTAAATACTAATGGGGGTCGATGATGCATTTTCCAGGTTGTCACAATCATATTTTTGGATATGTTCAACAACATCCTTTTTTATAGTTGGCAAAAAGTAACCAGTTCTCAGGATCTTGGAGAAGAGTGTTCTGCCCTCGATGAAAGATGTTAAATTGCGAGGCTTTTAATCTGAAGGTTATTGGGAATTTTTCACTTTCAGGAATGGATCCATCTTTGAGATATTGTAAGGTGCATAAGATTCAAGATTTAGCTGAAGATTGCAGCTTCAAGATCTTTTGGTCTAACATCTTCGATTCGAGGATCCTCAGGTTTAATTGTGACATCCCCAAAATCTCGGCCAGAAAAGACCGATTTTCATTTATGTTTTTTAAATAATTTCAGAGTAAATCCTTTTAATTTGAAAGAGTTGTGGAATTTGTTCTCAAAAACAAAACGTGATAAAATAATATTTACCAAAGCATTTCATAAAAGAAATTTATTTTCATTATATAATCAAAACTCGGGATGTCATGTTCCGATACAGACCATAAAGCATAAACGATAACATTACAAGTCATTCAACAAATATATACATATACAGACTTGTAAACAAAACAACTTGATGATTCATCCATCTTATGCCCTTGCGCCACTTCCTGTAATACAAATAAAACTGAGTGGGTCAGGCTTGGGAGCCTGGTGAGCATATAGGGTTTTCAACCCACAATAAATAATTATATTTAATTCCACCATCCAACAATAACCCAATTACCAATTCCCGTTATTCTCACTTTACGTCCCTAAAACAACTAACACAAGGGACCTAGTCTTAGAATATTTCATCGGGGCGACAACACATGCATTCGAGGGTTTCCCGGCAATATATGTCAAATAAGGCAACCATGAGGGGGATGGAGTACATCGAACGAACACCCAAGTTCATTAAGACCTACAGGTGACGAACCTGCTAGCGTTCCACAGGACTGTCTAGAAAAGTCTGTGGTCGTCATCTAAGCTCCGCTAGATAACTGAATCAAAAACAACATCGAGGCCTCTCATCTGTTTATCACACAACTATCTACCCATCTTCTACCCGACATATTAGTATATATATATATATATATATATATATATATATATATATATATATGTATATATATATATACACATAGTTTAAAACATGTATAGCATTCTCATTCAATATAAACAACAGATGAGACACATACACATAACACGTATTTCATAGAGAATAAATCATATCTACGAGATAGAAGAAAGTGAATATACATTCACGCATATAACAACAAAATATACACATAACACGTATTTCATATAAAATACTTCATAATTATGCGTTAGAAGAAAGTAACCACACACTCACTTGATCAAAAGATGATCGGATAGCACTACGGCTTGTAGAAGTAGTATTCTTCAGTAGATCTGGAAGATCTTCACAAAAATCGGACTCCTCGCGGGCAGAGCTTCGGTTCGGGAATTGCACTTCTCGGGATCTTCGGGGCTTCGGGACTTGCTTCGAGGCTCGGGAATGATACCGGGGCTTCGGGATAATTCTTGCACGAAAAACGATGCAAAAACACGAGAAATGGAAAGAAATGAGCAAATAACTCGGTTGCCCTCGACATCCTTTTATAGGGGCTGGAACTTCGATTTACGCTAGGCGTAATCTGAAATTACGCTGGGCATAATGAGGATCAGTTCGCTGACTCCACCCCCCTTGGATAATATCGGATAAGTTATATTTAAATTAAATATCGAAAATATTTAATAAACTTCAAAAATTCATATCTTCCTCATACGAACTTCGTTTTCGACGTTCTTTATATTCACGCGTAGGTGAGACTACGCTCTACAACTTTTGTTTAGACTCCGTCGGCTAATTTTGAATTTATTTTTATTATTTATTTTTAGTAGGCCGGGACAGGAAAACTCCGTTATAAATTCATAACTTCTTCATCCGATGTCCGTTTTCGCCTATCTTTTTATCGTTTTACTACTATTAACGAGACCTTCAATTCTCATTTAGATTGTTTCGGCTAAAAACTGCTCGATCTCAAATCGAGTATTCAGACTGCATACTGCTAAGTCGAAACTTCGAAAAATCATAACTTCCTCATACGAAGTCAGATTTTGGCGTTCTTTTTATGCACGCTCTTGGTTTAACGAACTCTACGACTTTCATTTAGATCACTAAGGCTAAATATCTGTCTAATGTAAATTTCACTTTTTACGTCATTCAACGTTGCCGGTTTTGTCGCGAAACTTCGACAGGTCATAACTTCTTCGTTATA